TTTATTTTCCTCTGGGCTCAAACATGCAGGATGGAAAAGTTACAGGCAGAAAATAGAGATTGATCGCAGTAATTCTGCAGAATGGCTGATTATTCTGGAGTCAAACTTGTTCTGTAATGAACCTGAGAGTCTGCAGTTCTGGAGTATCAGAACCAGAACACCAGCCTGGGAAAGACCTCATGCTGAAGGGTTTTCTTGTTTGTTGCATTTTTAGGGTTTATGCTTCATCCATCAGTCTCACCGACCAACTTTAAAGACCAATTATTCCTATTTATTTCAGCATTTCTACAGAAAAATTAACAGATCAGAAGGACCCAACAGAACCTGAACTCCTTCTCCTCAGCTGAAGTTCTCAGGATCATAATTATATAACATCAGTAAGAAAAAAAAAATCTCAGCAGAAAGGAATGCTGAAGTACCCAACACTAAGATTACCCTGAGGTTCCATCCATCCATCCATCCATCCATCCATCCATCCATCCATCCATCCATCCATCCATCCATCCATCCATCCATCCATCCATCCATCCATCCATCCATCCATCCATCCATCAATCCATCCACCCCTCACAACTCAACACACTGACTGGGTTTGGTCGGATAGTTTATCAGGAAGGCTCCTGAACAGAGAAAAAAGAAACATGTTGACTAATCAGACATTACATGACAAGCAGATGCTGACGTTAGGCTAAATACGGTGCTAAATACATGCAATTTATTCCATGGTAAATAGAAAGTACACCCTGTCTTTAATTAAGTACACGATAAAACTGACCTGATGTTTATGAGATTTAATATTTTTTAACCTCAAGAGAACAAAAATACACAAAAGAATGACCGCTGTATTTATTAAGCAAAGTTAAGTGCTAAGTGCTGCTGATTTAATAAGGAAAATTATAATCAGCTGCTGATGATCAGATGCAGATCAACTTTATTTAAATCTAACCTTAGTACCAGTCAGGAGCTGATCAGATGCATTGATCAAATGATCATCATAACGGCAGGAACTTAGGCAGCAAACAGGACTGTGTCAACACAATCCCAAGGCCAAAAGACATCAGCAATGACCTTAGAGCAGCAACCGCTGCTGACCAACAACTCGGGAAGGGTTCAAAGGTCATCTCCAAACTACCCTAAGTCCATCATTCTGCAGAGAGAAAGATTATTCCTAAGTGGAAAACATCTTAGAGAGCTTCCAATCTTCTCAGGAGTGGACATCCCAGCAGATTCAGCCCAAGGTCAGAGAGCTCCATCTCAGATCTACAGGCCTCAGTTAGCAGGTTAAAGGTTAAAGGTCATAACAGGACAGTTAGAAAAACACTGAACCAGTATGGCTGCTTGGAAGGGTTAAAGGAAGGGTTAAAAACAAGATGGCTGCAGGACATCAGTTAGCAAAGCTGCATCTGGATGAAGGACAAGACTTCTAGGACAATGTCCTCTATCAGATGAGACCCAAGTAGAGATGTTTGACTATAATGGACAGAACCATGATGGAGGAATCGAAACACAGCAGATCAGTACAGCCACCGCATAACAACTGTCAACTACGATGGAGGAGGGTGGATGATGTGGGCTTGTTTTTCCCACTGCAGTTATTGAGTCAGCCACGAACTCTTCCGTGAACCAACATTAGGTCTGTCTATTGAATGTTTCTGTTTTTTCCACTCCAGAATCAGAACCACATAAACATTTATTCTACATCTTTAATCCAGAACACAGCAGAACATCCTCCTGCTGAAATGGAGGCATCATTTTAATATTTCATTGAGATGAAAACAGAGAGCCAAAATAAAAGAACAGAAACAGCTTCTATGTTTTAGTCTACTTGCTGTAAGAGAAGATGCTCCAGACCCAACGCTTTCTAAGTAGCCTCAGAGGGAGAAGCTGTGGAAACGGGGGCAGCTTGTTTAGAGAGCTGACCGAGGCTCCTGAGCTGCTGGTCGGGTCTGTGGTTTGTGTTCAGAAACAAGCTGAAAGTGAGTATGCTGCTGGACTCCTTTATATTTCACATCTAACCCAAACATGAGCCTCCACTCCAACACCCTTCCTCCTTTTGACAGTGTGTGTGTGGCTTTCTGCCCACTTTTATAAACACATTCACATCCTAACAATACGTGGACCTGGCTGCATGTTGGGTCAGACCATGCTTCGTCTCAAAGATGACTCCTGTAGTTGGTATATGAGCAGCAGCCATGAAACCAGCTGGTCAGATTCAATGCTTGGTTTCTTTAGCAAGGAGATCTTTTCTTTGTTTCTCTTCATTATTTGCATGTTGACGTGAACTCAATCTTTCTTCTCAGCAGCAGAAACAACCATGAAACTTTAGGACTTGTAATGTGTAACTCTTTAACTTCCTAAACTGGGCTTTAGCGCGACTCGTGTCAGTTTGAAACAAAAAGGATTGAATCAGTTTTAGCAGAGTGCTGTGAGTCCTTCAGATCTGAGCTCTTCTACCTCATGAAGAATGATTCAGAAACTCTGTTATGAAACTTTCTTCTGAGGGGAAACATAAAGCGTGACCTTAACCTCCCTCAGCTAGCCCTGGACATCTCTTCTGAGGGTTTCTCTTTTCAGTCTTTCCAGATTCAGGTTGTTCAGTTTCAGGAGTGAAAATAGGATGGAAACTAAATTTATAACCCTGATCTGTGAGCTCTGTGACCAGAGGAAGTTCACCAAGGCTCAGAAACCTAAAACCATCAGAGCTCGGCCCACCGTAAGGAGACCTGAGGCGGAGGAAGTTGAGGTTGTTAATGGAGGAGTTTCTCACACATGCCCTGGAAGAAGATACAAACTCCACCCAGGATGGGATTTGAACCTTCTTGCTATGAGGCAACAATGCTAACCATAACACAGCCCATAAACCCAACTGAAGTGGCTAAAACTCACATTTAGCATTATTAATGGGATATAAAGGAGACTGTGAAGATGTCTGCTCTTAATCACAAAATGGCTACAAGAAACTAAGCTTCTTCATTTCTTAGCTGGGTGGAGAGTAAAGTGTCTACCAAACACAGTGAAGGTTATTGAGAAAAGTAAAAAACCCAGACTGCAGCAAAGTGTGGCATCTTGGAGTCTCCATAGCAACCAACAGATAAGAGAGCAGAACTGTTCTACCAAGATGTACTGACCCAGCTCGGCTGAGTCATTCAAAGTGTTTAATGTTGGTGCTTATATTGGATTGCACTTTCTGTTCAGCAGATGATTTCATAGACAGATGAATAACTGATCAGTAGTTAAAAAACCAAAACTCTAATGTTAATTAAATGGTAAATAAAAATGAAAACATTTTTGACAGTTTATTTAAAATGTTCGGAGCCCAAAGGGTTTGGATGATGGAGGTTGTGGACCTCCTGCTGTTTTAGTTGGGGACTCCTGATCTAAAACATATTCAGAAAGCGGTTTGGTCTAAGAGTAATCGCACTGAACCTCAAAACAATAACGGATAAAAATAAATCCGTGCAGCCTTCAGTCTGCTCTGTTTTGTTGATTTCAGCTCTATTGTCCTGCGATGAATTCTGGGAAACGCAGTTGTCTCAGTGGACAGTCGAACATCACGATGAGACAATAAATGTGTCAGCAGGCTGGAAAATTGCACACGCTCAGTGTGAGCGTGTGTGAGGAAATTCCCTCGTTTCTATGACTGACATCACACAGGGAACACAGTCACACACACACACACACACACACACACACACGCACACACACACACACAGACAGACAGGTGGTTTTAACCACTAACACAACACACATTACAGCATCAGTGTTTTCTCTGGATATTGTGATTCACACCAACAAGTTAAAGCCTGTTTTCTCAGTCAGGCTGTCCAAAAAGTTGGCTTTTCTACCTGTTTGTGCAGCATGTGTTGATGCTGTAACGTTGCTGTTGCTGCAGGGACTGAAACATAAATCTTAGAAGTGACTGTTTCAGTCAGTAGCTGCTGGTTTCACCCATGTTAGGTCGTTAATAGAAAATTACACACAAGTTAGTGAGCCTGGGAGAACATGTGAAAATCTGGGATCACTTATTCTCTTTTGACCATTCTGTGTATTTCTGGTTTAGTTGCTGCTGTAAGGTTCTGCATCATGTTTAGGTAAAAACCCAAGACTGTCTGATTCCACATAGAAAGCTTGAGATCAGGGTTCCAACATGTTTCACGTCGAAACTCCATACTCTTTCAAACTCTAATTTTTAGTCTTTGGCCCTTTTGTAGGAGCTTTATTACAAAGGTCCGGATGGACGGATGGATATAACTTTTAGACAATAGAATATGGGATAAAGTCTGGAAAAACAGAACTTTTCCTGACTTATCCAGACCATTAAATTAAATCTGAATTTTACAGAACAGTAGAAACCCTGTAGGATCTAACGTTTACAGTTTATCCAGGACCAGAACAGCTTCAGCAGAAATCCAAGACTCATCCTCCCTGAGCTACCTCCTCCATCTTCACTGAGGGCCTCCACATCTGAGCCGTGAGCCACTATCTCTCCAACTAGTTCTGGCTCTGCTCCAGGACCACCTCCCTGTGGAACATGGCCGAAACACCTCCCAAGAAAGGCGTCCAAAAGGCATCCAAGCCAGAAGCCTAAACCCCTTGAAATGGCTGCTCTCGGTACTTTGAATCCAACAAGCTATGGGCAGCGAGCACCAAAAGGAACCTATGAAGAACCTGTGAAGTGTGGATTGAGCTACAGTTGGACGTGAAGCACTGGCAGTCAAATTCCTGGCTGCTAACACCGGCTGAAGGTAAAACTTAGGAATAACTTATTGAAAACCTGTAAACAAAGTCCAGTTGTCTTCTGTTCAAGCAAACAGGGGGTCTCCACTGTAAGTTTTCAACCAGAAACTCTGAATTCCTAATAAAATGGAAAGCAGAATGTTTTAAATCTGAACACAATTTGGAAAACTTAAAACAAAAAGGGTAACAATAAAACATTTTTAAAGCAACTTTCTTTTGTTAACATTGATTTATATTATATTTTACCTGGGTTCCTAAAGTCATGACTCTGGAGGGACCTGAACCCACAACCTTTGAATACCTTTTGGTCTATATAACTAATGCTGTCCATTGCACCACAGAGCCTACAAGCTCACAGGCATTCTGCCTAACAATGATGTTTTTTTCTGAAAACATGGGAATTTTACCATGATCTTGACCTCTTATAGGAACTCAGTGAGTTAATGCCTTGTTCCATATTAGCTGGTACGACTACTTCATTTTCTTATTCAGAGATGCTGACTATTTTACAAAAAACAGACATATTATCATAGCTTTTGTTTATTTATGATTATAAAAGATTTGTGCTGGAGGCCAGTTTTAAAGTCAGGTTTGACTGAAGCCTCAACATTTAAAACGGATGCTTTTGTTTGGTTTTGACAATAGGACATTTCAGATCTGATCAAACAATCAAATACTTGAGAGGTGCATAATTATTCAACATGCTTCCTTGGTTCTAAAATCGTGTTACTTTTTATAGATTAAACTAAAGAAATAGTAACTGGTTGATGGATTCAATGGTTGCTGGATTTATGCTAAAATAATCTCAGCAAAACAATGTTACATGAGGCTAAGCTAACATAAAGTCTCAAGCTGAGGCAAATTGAAGTGAACTAAGCTAATGCGATCTAAGACAATGCAAGCTATGCTAAAATGTAGGACTGAAACAATTAATTGGATTATTCGTGATTGATCAATTATTGAAATAATCATCAACTATTTAGTAATCGAATAGTTGTTAACTGAAGTAAACAGACTACATGCCATTTACAACCCACTCAGAGCAGTAATTAGGCCAAAATTGTACAAAAAATATATGCACTTTGCATTTAAGGTTAAAAACTTTCTTTGTTGGTAAATATGCTCTATCCAGAACTGCTCAAGTGGTTTTATCTTCACCTGGTTTGAATTCTCCTTTTAAGTACATTTTGCTATCCGATCATTAATAGATTATTGGAAAAAAATAATCAACAGATTAATGGATTATCAAAATAATCATTAGCTGCAGCCCTGCTAAAATATGATAAAGCAAGGTACGATAAGCCAGGATGAGGTAAAGTAACCAAACGCTAATGTAGAATAAACTAAGTTAAGCTGAACTATGGTAGAACAAGCTAAGAAGTGCTGAGCTAAGACAAGCTAAGCTAACAAGGCTAAGACAAACAAAAAACACTAAGATAAGCTAATGATTTGCTTTCATTTTATTCTTTATCTGCTTCTTGTTTAGAAACAAGTAACTCTTTTATCTTAATCTCACAAATATTGCCTTTAATCAAAGTTTTGTGACTTTGTTATAATAAAATAGAGAGAAATCATCTTTCACTTGATAATCCACTGGGTACCAGATCTTCTACCAGGTGATTCTTTAGGAATCACCTGGTAGAAGAAAAAAGAAGAAAAAATATTTTTTCCTGTCTGTCAAATGATGTTGTCTGGTGTTTTTCATAAATTCATCAAAAGAAATGGGAATTAATGGTATCTTTGTAGCACAACTCTGCTAACATGTAGCAATAAATGAGATTTAAATGGTTCTTTGTTAAGTCATCTGTTACATGGCAGCACAGCACTGCTTTATCCCTGGAGTTCATGTTAAACAGGTCAGAGTTAATGGCTTCATAGAAGACATTCCTCTAACAAAATCAAATATAAAGATCGAAATTAAAAGAAACAAAAAATACGCAATTTAACATTTTAGTGAAGATGGTTGACCTTTCAGTTTTTTGCCCATCTTATGGGACTCAAACCATCAATCTCCTGACCTCCAACCAGGTCAAATACTCATACATGAGTTTGAAACAAACCTTCCTCTGTTTTTAAACAAGCTTTTTCACTTGGCGTGTAACGACCACACGTTTACTGCATGTTTCTGTGCATTCGTGCCTCTTCATGTTGTGTATGTTATTTATGTTGTTTACTGAGCTGCTCTTGGGCCAAAAACACTGTGGTATACAACTGTCGCCGGACTCACACACACTAACACACTGTGCGTCACAGCAGAGCCTATGTCTAACCTCAGAGGATGCTAAATTGTTGGGCTAATTATTATAAACGGCAAACAGTGGTAACCCGGGGAACTATCCTACCACATCCCATAATTATAGGCTAAATATTAAAAGAACTTCCAAATAGTTGAGATGGTTGGGGTGTGTTCGGGTTCTGCTTGGCTCCTTGAGTCTGGGTCAGAGCAGACTACTCAGAGAAACCTGAAATACTGAAGATGAATTTGAAACATCTAGAGCAACATTTAAAGCCAGCTTCAATGTTTCTGAGACGTTCTTTCCCAACTAATAGCTGCTTGTTTACACAGAAGCAAAGCTAGATCTCAGGATTTTACAAGGAGGGAGAAGTTGGACATTGGTGCTGATGGGATTTGACCACACAACCTGTGAATCACATCTTCAGTTTGCAACCAGAAGGTCCAACAAGCATTCCACTGCAGAGAGGAAACACGAGCTTTACCTCCTGAAAGACCTCTAGTAAAAACATTATTTTAATATGTGTAGAAAATACAGGAACAAATAAAAATGTTACTGATTCTTAGGTTGAAATTTGGGTTCTGGATTTCTGAAACTAGGCTCACACTGGAAGCAGCTGGCTTATATATAAGGTGATTAATTTCTGAACTGTATTTCTGACAGGTAATGCTGAATCCCAACAAGGGAAAACAAGGCAACCAGGCTGCAAAATAACAAGCTTCTAGCTCCGAGGAGAATAAAACTGTTATTAAATATTCATATGAATATTTAACCTAAAGTCCAGTAAACTTTAAATGCATTCCTTTCTAAAGTACTGGAAGTTAAAGAAATCTCAACTGCACCGCAACCAACAGCAGTCAGGCTAAATAGATGGGATAGAGACTTTGACTAAATGAACTTATTTCAGCATATTACCAAAACCATTAATGATCATAACAGATTTTGTAGAAAGCGGAACAAGTTCCTAAAAACAAAATGGTCTAATTGTGGAGAATTACGCTTCTTTTCTGTGACAAATCAGCACATATGGACCTAAAAGCTTCTTTAAAAAGAACATTTGTTGGACCTGACCCCCACAAAGCTCAGATGATATCAGTGTACAAAGTCTGCATCAGTTAAAATGATTTTCCTAGAAAACATAAAAAGTAATTTAGATCACTTCTGGACCACTTTAAATTTAAAGCCACAGCCTCTGGATGTCTGCTCAGAAACACCAAACAAGCAGGACAGAACTCAACTTATTAGAGCTGATGAGAGGAGATGCTGCTTCCTGTTCATCATCATAAAAATTCTCCTCATGTACTTCATCCTTCATCCCTCTTAAGTCCTCAGCGTGGTTTTAAAGTCCGCTAACCAGTCCTGAAGACTACTGGGACCTGTTGGTTGCTTCCAGTGAAGCCAGCCCTAAGACATGAGAGTGGTGATAAGGAACCCACAGATGATAAAGATTTAGCCTTTTTAGGAGACCACAGTGAAAAGAAAACCAAACACCTCGTGAGCTGTTAACCAAGTTAACAGCTCATGATTATGATATGGTTTTATCATTTTATATTTTACTTTCTGTTTGTTTGCAGACTCTTTAACAGAGCAAAACAGAGAGAAACAGCAGAATCAGGCTGAACGCGTCCAGCAGAGACGGTGAAGGCTCGTTATGGTTCCTGTTGGGCATCAATCCAAGCATCTCATTGGCTGGAACCCAGAAGGCAGTGGGACACAAACAGGCACTCAGCCTTTTGGGATGTGATGTTGCATTACTGAACACGTTTGAAATGTGTGAAGTTTCCTATGAACAAATATGGAAAGGGAAAATCTTTCTTTTCTACATTTTAGGGGGAACATGAACACACCAACACAATTCCTTCCCCTGACATGGTGCGTTCACTGACATTAGGATTACAGAGTTCTGTTACTGCATTCAAGACTGAAGAAAAGCAACCATTGAAAATTGTCTTTATCATCAAGACTGGATTACTTTTCTTTGGACTTCAGCTGCTTTCTCACTTGGTTCCACTCTTTGCCTCTGACCATTTTCTGACCTGTTAATCATTCAAACATCAAAAAAAAGGCGCCGAACCAGTATTGTGTCGGCACATAACAGACCACTCAGCAAAGGCTACATTTTAATTCAAATCTTTGAATTTATTTTTATCTTTATTTTTTGCATCAAATAATCCGGAGTGAGAACTGCTATCTCTGGACATGCAGCCACAATCGGATCTGTTGACCTTGGACTTGTTTTTATTTCAGCTGGGTAGAGGGTTGTAGGCCTGAAACTTCCTTGTTTTGCTGATAGATGTTTGCTCAGTTTTGTAAGCTGCCTGATGTGTTTGCTTTCGTTTGTTTAACTCCCACCTCAATCTGTTTAAGTATAGAACAAGAATTTGGATCTTTGCTTCGTCTCATGTTTGTTTCCAGCTTTCTGAGCGTCCTCTTCCCTCTCGGTCCTGTTGACATTCCTGGATTTTTTTCTGTGTGGGAACTTTGTTTTTAAAAGAAATGTTTGAAAGATGAGCCTGAGAGGCCAAACAGGATGACGGTCAGATGAGATTCATGTTCTCACCCCCACCCTCCACCCCTAAGAAAAGTGAAAGCCTTCTGACTCAAGCGGCGATGAAAGCACAGATAGAAAGAAATGCTTAAACAATGACCCTAAAGAGGAAAAGATATCATTCACCTGAGATATCTAAATATCCTGTAAAACATCTCAGTCCAGATTTGAATCAGCAGAAAACACTGATCGCGCCCCCTGTAGGTACTGATGCAAATTACTGGTACTGGTAAAGAGCTGTTGATGATGATTTATTTTAGAAAGGTAAAATCTAAAATGATCAAACTTTTAAAACATGTCAGACACTTTTGGGATCACCTTTATCTCCTGAAGGCTGACCAGAAGTCCTGTCAAAATGTTTCTTCAACATCACCAAAAACCTTTTTAATATTAGATTTTTAAATCCGGAGAACCGCCTGTGTGCACATTCAATAAATAATAACCAGGATTACTTGGGGAAAGTCTCGTTTCTGAGGGAGTTTAGTTTCTTGTTCTCTGTTTCAGCTGAGCAGAACCAGAATAAAGACAGCTGTGTTTAAGTGATCTTACCTCGGAGCCGGAGC